ATACCTAAAAAAATGGGTTCTGGGTTCTATATACCCTGTCGTTACATAGCCCAGTGACCTACTATTTAGGTAACTGCGAGCCCTAGAGAAACCCTAAACCGGCCTGAACACCAAAACCTCATCCATCCAGCCTTAGGACTTGAGGTTAAACATTCACACAAATCACACACTCCAAACCCTAAACCTAAACCCTTGGGATCTACAAGGGAGCCACGGGATCGCAACGGCCACTAGAATAAACATTGGGAAGCTCTCAAGATTTGGATACTTCTTTGGGGTTTCCCATAGTAGAGATCTTATCATTTTGGGGCCGTACCTTGGGGTCCCCAAGGTAGGGATTATAGTATTTGGGGGTCTTAAACCGGGGTCTTATATTGGGGTCCCCCAGGTTAGGGAAACCGCCAAATGTCAGTGCACAAGTGCTGCAATACTTGCTCTGTTTAGCAGCGGAGTTGTTTGAAGCACTCCCATCGAGACCAGCATGCATCATGATAGTCCCTTGGCTGTCCATGCCTTAGATTGCATTTCCGCTTGGGCATCTTAAGGCGAACCCCTTTATGACCCTAAACCCTAAACCTTAACCCTTAGCCCTAAACCCTAAACCCTAAACCCCTCAACGAGCAATAGTTCCGAGCGGGCAGCAGGTCGCTAGAGTTATGCGGCCCAAATCAATGCAGATTATAAATTTCCTAGCTCGCCAGGATTGATGAACATGCACAGCCCTAAAGCTTACCTGAACCCCAAAAGTAGGTAAAATAATAGCCCCAAACCCCTGAAAAACAGCCCAAAGGGCTATCATTCTACGTACTTTGGGGGGTCCGGGTAGATCCTAACCCCTAAGCCTTACACCCTACACGGAGCTATCAGGTTCTTCGCACAGAAGCTCTTGCCTTGATTCCGGTTAGGGGTTTCAAAGGTTTATAGTCCCCTTAAGTAGATAGAATATGGCTTTGGGTATATTATAATAAGACCCCTATTTACCCCATATTCTATCTACTTAAGGGGGACTATAGGGCAACCAGGAGGGTATGTGGTTTAGCGCTTAGGGTTTCAGGTTTAGGGTTTAGTGTTCAAGGTTTCGGGTGTAAGGTTTGAGGTTGATGGTTTTAGGTTGGATTCTTGCAGAGCCACACTCTGCATCCATGACCTCGACACACGCCATGAAACCCGTGGTACTCCACCTGAATGGTCTTTGGGCTTTTCATGGGTTTAAGATTTCGGTTTGAGGGTTTAGGGTTTCGCGTACTAGTTCGGAATGGCATGGCACCTCTACTCGTACCTGCGAACTAGCCTATATGGACATGTTACATAATGAGCCGCAAAGTGGAGCGGTGGGGAGAGATCAGTACAGAGGGAACCAGCTGCGAACAGACTGTTCTTCATGATCTTCTCGCTGTTCAGTGGTCAGGCCATTTAGCTGCTTTTAATGTAGGCCCTGACCAAATTGTATCCTGCAGGCGGACATGGGCACCTGGACCACGATGACAGTAGGCCGACACAGTTTGCAGGTGTCAGAAGGGAATTTCCGATCAGTCTGCTTGTAGAATGCTCTGCGAAACACATGGTAGCTTCCCAAAATAGGGGGACCCCAATATAGACCCCAATATATTACAATCCTTATTATAATGGGGAGCCCCAAAAAGGTATCCCTACTTTTAGGAAACCCCCCACATTCCGAATTTCTCGAATATCCTGCGCCACCCCAGGGTAAGGGCACCATGTATTGACATACTTCTCACACCCGACGTGGGGCCTCGGAATTCTGGGGGATTCCGGGCCCGAAGCCCCTGAAAACCCTGGACTCCATGACCCCAAACAGTCTTCTGGTTTTAGGTTGTAGCATGTGAAGTATTTGAGGCTTAAGATTTGCGACCTAAACCCTAAACCCCAGGTAAAGTATTTGAGGCTTAAGATTTGGGGCTTAAGGTATGAGGTGGCGAGCTTGCAGCTCGATAAGGATTAGTTTGAAGGACCCCAAAGCTAATTACGAAAAAAGGGTTTAGGGTTTAGGGTTGAAGGTTTAGGGTTCGGGGTTCGGGGTTTAGGGTTCAGGGTTTAGGGTTTAGGGTAGCACCTTGCAAGGAGCTTAATTTCTGCAGTCTGCATAAGGACCTTGGTTACCCCGAGGCCCCAAAGTCTGGACCATTTGACCCACACCTGGGCTCTGACGGGTTCCTTATTCTAGGCGCTGGGGATATAGGGTTTAGGGTTTTAGGGTTTAGGGTTTAGGGTTTTAGGTTTAGGGTATTAGGGATTAGGGTTTAGGGTTTAGGGAACAAGTCCACTTTCCATGTCATGTTCATGTTTTCTTTCCCATCTGAAGCTCAAGGGTCCTCAATTATGCTGGGCCTTGAGCTAACCAGCATTCTTTTTTTGTAGACGCAAGACAAGATCTTCCTGTAAGATCCTCACAGCTTTGTAGCATATACTCCCTGATGAGGTTGGTACTTCCCATAAAATTGAAGGTATTTCCTGTAATTCCAAGCGCCTCCACAGTTTAGCAGCAATTAGTCCCTAATTAGTAGGTATAGCCCATAAAGCTGAAGGTACTTCCTGCAGTCCCCAGCCCCCCCCCCCAGCTGCTTTGTAGTATATATTCCGTAATTCGTTGGTAAAGCCCATAACACTGTAGGTCATTGAAGTTACAGGGGCCACGTCAACCCGCATGGCTGTGTCGCAGAGCCAACATCTTTGGCTAGAAGCTGCTCGCAGAAGCTTGGTTTCGGGCTCATGGTTTAGGTTGGATACCGTCCCCATTCATTAACAGTTGGATAAACTTCATAAAATGATCACATAGAGCCCTGAATAATGCTCTATTATAGGCTGTTAATGGTTGGGGGGCACGACCCAAGGTTTAGGGCTCTCGGTAAAGGGTTTTACCCTCAACGCCGAAGTTTTCAACTCCTGAACCCGGTTCAAGCCCATCAGCTAACAACTCACGAGGCACCATACTGCTTACATGAATCCCTATAAACCCTAGAGCACCAACGGAACCTAAAATTCCAGACCATATGAGCCCTGGACTCTTGAGCCTTACACTAAACTAGGCACGCCGCACACAGATCAACGTGGTAGTTTCCCAAAATAAGGGGACCCAGTGACCCGATATAGACCTCAGAATATTATAACCCTTATTATGGGGCCCCCCGAAATGGTACCCCTAGTTTTAGGAAGCCCCCATGAAAATATGTGTCCTGCGTCGTGGGAATCACGCAAACATCTCAGCCGTCCAGCCTGGGTTTTTCTGATCACTATAATATAACCTTGTAGAATCTGTAAAAAGAAATAGATTTTGGATGGCCCTAAATCAACATGACCGTATATATATATATATGTATTCCGCTTTGGGGCCACTGAATCTATCCCAGCAACCGGGACCTAGCATCTTGAGAAAGCCTACCAAGAGTCTTCTGGCAGGCCACCGTGCAGGCCCTGGCAAGGCGGATGTTGGAGCCTCATCCATCGACGATCCATAGTCTGAATTCCTTTAGGGGGGTATAGAAGGGAGTATTGGTCTATATTACGATCATTGTTGCTATTATATAGGGTTTGGGGCTTAGGTGTAAGGGGTATATAAGGGATTTTATAGGCTACTCTGATAGCGGGGGATTTTAAGGGGGATACGAGGAGTTCAGACTATAGTAGCTCAGACTTGCGTAGACTCAAGGGCTCTTTCTGGCGAGTCCCTGGACCCAATAATTGGGTACCTGGGGCTTTGATATTAGTAATTGTAGTCCAGGTTCTGGGTAAGTATACGAGTTATTGTCTAAACTCCTAGTACCCCGCTTAATAACTCCTATGATACTCCCCTCTATAATCTGTTATACAACCCTCTTTTAAGGAGTTTTAGACTATAGCTCATATGGAGATACAGGGGGGGTTTAGGGTTTAGGGAGGGTGGAATGGACAAGGAAGTGGAAATTTCTATGTTCCTGAATGTTTAGGGGTTAAGGCCTAACTTAATTAGAATACTGGAGCACGGAGTGGGAAAGAAGGGAAATTTGATTCTAGTTGGTTGCCCAAAGCTAGATGATAAAGGGTTTGCAGGGCTTACTTGCTGGCTTTAAGTGGGGAACCGAAAATCAAACGGATAGCACATGGACAAGAAAACGACGGGGTTTATCGGGAAGGGGTTTCGGGTATAGGGCTTGAAAGACGTTAGAATCCTTCACCCCCTGAAAAGAAGGATTCACAAGAAACATATAGTTATGGTGATAGTAAAGCATCATTTATTGTTAGGGTGCAGGGCGTTTTGCTATGAACGAACGAAGGGAGGGGATTTCCGTTGGACAGGTGGAACCTTTAAAACGGGCGACAGGGATACGTATGCATGTATACATGTACGCATGCACGTATGTATGTGCGCAGGGTTTCGGGATCAAGGTTTAGGAAGGAAATGCTGGGGCTTAGGGGTTTCTGAACATGGAGGTACCCCTGTGCAAGCAGGACCCTGAACCACTGACCCTGCACCCTTAAACCGATGATGTATGGGGCCTGCGGGGAAGAAGGTCTGCCCTCTAAGGATCGTGCAGGGACACTTTATTGCACAAGACATCTCTGATAGTTTGTTGGGGAGTTTGGTGCAGTCACTGCCGTTCTCCTGCCACTTCTGTTCCTAGTGCCCAGGCCCACTAATTAGATGCTATCCCCATTCCTCTCCTGTGCTTTCTATAAGCGCATGGCAACTTGGAGAAACAACACCTCGAAGTCCAAAAGCCCTAACAGCCTGAAACCTTAAACCTAAAACCCGCAAGCCCTAAAGCCCAATCCTTTTGCGTCCAGCCCTAAATCCCTACAGTTGATCCTAAACTGGATTTTGGTTAGCTAGGAATATTACAGCAGATTCCATTTTTCCATTCCTCCTAAACTCTAAAGCCTATATAACCCAGTATAGTAGTTTCCAGTTTCTTTTCCATTCACCGTATAATAGTTTCCATTTTCTTTTCCATTCCTTCATTCCCAGCTACCCAAACCCTAAACCCTAAACCCTAAACCGCAGCCTCGCCAGAGCCCTCGGTCTGACGAACTTGCAGGAGGCGCTGCTGCTTGGCTGCTTCGCAGAGTCCTGGGGTTCATACGCTTCATGTGGCTTCTATCATGCTATACAGATGCTATAAAAGGTATGAAAGTATTATATGAGGATTATATAAGGTTCCAAAAGGGTTAAATACAGGTATATATGTAGCAGTTTTAAAGACAATTAAAACCAAATCTAAAAGAGCATGGAAATTGAAATGGGCACTGGCTTTTAGATATGGTTGACGCTGCAAATCCTGCGTGGCGCTAGGTGGCTCATACCTTGAGCATTATGGTGTTATAGTATGGTAAGTTGACGCAGGAGTTGCAATTTCTAACAGTAGCTGTTCTTAAAGCCCCCTTGCACACCAAACTTCCACGAGCCCTTGGGCTCTGTGGCTAGGCTAGAATTGAAAAAGCAACTTTCCAAATGATCATCAAGTCAGAGAAGCTGGAGACCAGTTTGCTCTTGGAGCCTTTTCCCAAACCTTGCTCGCTGATGCCCAAGCCCTTGCCCATCCGTCGAAGCTCGGCAACCGGCAAAGCACTCAACAGCAGCTTGCCATAGTTTTCCTGCCGGCTGGGGCTCAACCCTCCTGCCTTCCGGGGACACTTTACGTACACCCTTCTTTCTTTGATGTTGCTTGTTCCTAACGTCCCCCGAAGTCGCACAGATGCAATATCTTGAAAATTAGCAGATTGACCATCTCTCGAACTGTTTGATGCCTCTATGTCTCCAACTCTGCATTTCCTCGCAAGACCCCACAAATCCCGGCTTATACTTTCCTTTCCTCAACCCGCACCCCTCTAATAACAAAATATTCTTCTCATGCTACCAACATTGAGTGCTCATTATTGGAGGGTTTCTTATTCTGGGCGAGGATTGTCCATGATCCTGGGAGATCCTGACAAAATTCGGAGGTCTGGTCCTTGGACAAGGGGACTGCCAAATCTTTAGGTTCGCCTTTTTGGGAATCCTTTTCATAAGGATTAGCTCTAGATTAGGGCCGCTTTGTATGGAACCTCCATAAGACTCTCAAGACAAACGCCAGATTCGCCGGACACCAGGACTATAAACCGCATCCTATGAGCCCCAAACCTAAACTTGGAACAGCTGGGAAACCACAAATCCTAGACTCCTAGACCCCTAAACCCTCACCCTCGACCCTCACATATTCCAATTGTGTACATCTTGGCTACGCCGGTACACTTCCAAAGACTACTGTCAACCCCAAGGATTATAACAGTATTCACGGGAAACTACAGGATCTTCTTCCGTCCTGCCCTACCTAATATGGTAGTTTCCCTAATTAGGGGACCCCAATATAGACCCCAATATACTATAGTCCTTATAAAAAGGACCCCCAAAATGTGCCCCTAATTTTGGGAAACCCCTAATCCCTGTAATCCCCTATATAATCCCAGTTTCCATTTCATTTTCCATTTTCTTTTCCATTTGATTCTCCATTATAGTAACCATAGGTTCCCCTAATTTTGGGAACCCCCCATATCTTGCCACCCACCGAGTGCTCGTCAAACTTCGGCTCCTCAGGGCCTGCCGTGGAAGGGATGGGTCTGTTCAGCAACGATGCCGCCGTCTCCGTAGATGTGTCCAGAAACCTGGTTTAGGGGTTTAGGGTTTAGGGTCCAGAAACCTGGGTTGTAATTTTAATGATTTATAGGGAATATATAGGGTAATATTGGGGTTATATAGGGTTTAAAGGGGGATAATGGAAAATCAAATGGAAACTAGTATAATGGGTTATATGTAGAGCAGCACTGTAAAAGCACGATAGTAGTAATATAAGAATTCTCATAGTAATTTAGTAGTAATATACCTGGGTTAAAATTTATGGTCAGGACTCAGGGTTTAGGGTGTAGGGTTTCAGTTTTACGGGTTTTGAGTTTAGGGGCTTTAAAGATTAGGGTCCAGTGTACGAGGGTTTGGGGTGTAGAGGTTATGGAGTTTGGGGCTCATACGTGGTTCTAGCTGCTAGCTTGAGCTAGAAGCGAACCAACAAAAATCATGCGGAGCTGTTAGGATCATCCTACTTCTTGAACTACCCATGAACCTCCACGCTGGGATTCAGACTAAGGACGCTTTTCGATTGGTGCATGTGCTGAGTGCTCAAGTTACCTTCCCCCAAACTAAGATTGAACCCCACATAGCCACCTGTCAATTGACTGTGATGTATGTGGGTTCCATGTTAGCCTGTAAGCCCCTTGAGAGGCCAGCACCCTGCCAAAGAACCAGGAAGACTTCGATAGGAACATTAAAGGGTAAAGCCGCAAAACCTGGCAAACAACGCGCAACTACACCGCCCAAAGCCTAGGCCCGCAACCTCACATACCTAAACGTTGATTCTTGCATAAACTAACCGTTGCCTGGACCTCCCAAATGCCCATAGAAATTACTGGTCTTCTACCCCAGAGAATAAAAAGGTGCATGTAGACAGTTGCTATTGGCATTTGGCAGGTCTAGGGTATGATCCTTAACCGTTTACCTTAAACCCTAACCCGTAAACCCCTAAATCTAAACCCCTTAAACCCCTTAACCACAGCCCAGAAGCCAAGGCGTATCCTCCGAGGCCTCTTCTGCCTCGACCTCCGAAGTTTCTGGAAGCAAAGAGGCCCAGCTGCCGGCCTCTGGGCGGACTCATGATTGGAGAGTCCAGGGGACACAGTAAGTATTTGAGTGAAAAAATAAGTTAGGTAGTTTTGCGTTATCTTTTTTTTGGGGGGGGTGGTGGTCCTGGGCATTCTGTAGGCCAAAATGTGAAGACACTCCACGCGAGAGCTCACTTTGGAGCCGAAACTTCAGGACGCTCTACGCGGGAGCTCAGTTTGGTGTCAAAATGTGAGAGATCTCCATGCGAGAGCTTGATTGGAAGCCCCATTTTCAGGATGCTCTGCGCGGGAGTTCGATTGAGTGTTAGAATCTTTGAGGATGCTCCTGCGAGGTCTCAATAAACTAGAATGATGACTGGAATAAAAAAATGAATAAGAATACATACTGCTTGTTGTAAGAGTAATGAAAGTAATCACAACAGTAGTGATAAGATGAGAAGAAACATTGTTGACACTGGTGATGACACTCATAATAAGCTACAGACGAAGAATAATGGTAGTATGAACAGTAACACTCCGCATAATCCTCTCTTACCCTCCCTTGCGGCAAATATGGCCACGACATGATTTTTTTTACCGTAAGCATCGGTGGCTTTAAACGACGAGGGGGCTGGGGGGGTGAGGGGGGGGGGGGCGGGGCAGCCCGCCCCATTTGCAAACAAAATCATCCAGCCAGCCTTCCCCTGCTGCAACCATGGAAACGACATGGTTCGCTACCATAAGCATGGGTGGCTTCAACAGATCAGGGGAGTGGGGAATGATGTTTTACCGTGAGCATGAATTTCTTTAAAAAGGGGGGGGAGAAGCCTAGCCACGGGTACGGGGTCCTTATTTTGGGTTTTGGCTGTAACTATAGTCACCCCTTAGCAGATAGAATATGGGGTATATGGGATATTATGAGAATATACCCAACGCCATGTTCTATCTACTTCATGGGGAATATAAACTCGCATCATTAGAATCATCAGATGGCTCTTGTGATGAGGTCTTTAGCTGGGACCCGGGACAGCGGAGCTTTTGCGGAAGAACCTTGTCTCGTGCAGTTGCCTTTCGGGCGGAATTGGATTACGGAGTAATGTCAAGTAGAACTAAGTACTGGTTAGCGCTAATTTACCATAAGCCCTAAGCTACAACATTGCGACTAACCCTAAACAATCCCCAACCCTGTTCAATGCCACATCGACCCCAAATCCTAAAACGCTCTCGATCCCAAAATGACCTAACCCTTAAACCTGTCTTCAACATTTCGATGGCCCGGCCTCCGGCTTACCTTCAGGAAAACTACAGGCTTGCTTGCCACAGAGATCGCAAACAGCGGCGCTGACCTCCTCAGCAGTCAACTCTCGATACCTGCCAGCTTGCTCAGGGTGGAAGGTTGGGGGCTTTACGATAACCATTATTTGCAGCAAGGGGGAAGCCTAGGCAGCATGTAGAAGTACTAGTGCAGCAGTAGTAGCAGCAGTAGTAGTAGTAGTAGCAGCAGTAATAGCAGCAGCAGCAGCAGCAGCAGCAGCAGGAGTAGTAGTAGTAGTAGTAGTAGTAGTCGCAGGAGTAGCAGCAGCAGCAGCAGCAGCAGTAGTAGCAGTAGGAGGAGCAGGAGCAGCAGCAGCAGCAGCAGCAGCACTAGTCATCGTCGCCGTGCAGTTGTCGGTGGTGGTTGTTGCTGCAGAGTCAGAGCATGCGAGTCCGGCGGGCATAGCCAAGAGCCCCAGGCAGGGCAGCAGAAGCGGCAGACCCAACAGGGCCAGGCGGATATGCTCGGTGCGGCACAATAGCATTGGACATGCTTGCAGCAGTTGCCACAGCAGTGGCAGTAGAACTACACGCAAGAAGAAGAAAACAAGAAAAATGCAACGACTACTGATATTATCTCCTATATTGTCTGCTAGCAGACAGCAGTGGGGCAGAGAGCAGAAGAACCAGAGTAGAGTGGCAATAGCTGTAAGATGCTGTAAGCTTAGCACCCGCCACGAACCGTGCCTGGCCCCGAGGCCATCTAAGGCCACCCATTGCGGCCACTTTCTGCATAGCAGTCGTGCGAACAGCTGCTGTGCACGAAGGGGCAGCAGCCTTCAGACGACACTGACCGGCTCACTAACTGCAAGAACTTCATTTGGTATTGTGGTTCAGAACAACAAGAGCAGAAGCACAACTACTACTTCTACTTCTCTTCACACTACTTCCTCTTCTACGAGCATCACTACGAACATACGACTACCACTTCTTCTCCTACACCAGTACTTACAGAAGCCTTTTCCGCCAAGGCTCTCGAAACGCAACAAGGCCGCCCGCTCGCAGGGCTTAAGCAGCTGGCCGTAGCGAGGCAGTGTAGCGGTGACTGTCCGCCGCCTGGGACCCAAGGGTTTGGGGTTTTGGGTCTAAAGGAGAAGCAGAGAGGATTAGGCATCGGGTCCCCTTGTAGGGATTATGGGGGGGATGTTGTTCAGATTTTTTGCCGTAGTGATCCTAGCTGTCCGGATTGCAGGCGGATCATGGGGTCACTATTAGCGATTATAAAGATAGTGCATCTTGTTTATTGAGAATCCGTTGACCATCTGCAATTTGCTCAGCTAAGCTAGACCAGCAAGGGTGACTGTTCTACTTTGTGCTGCCGCACCTCAGTACCTTGGGTCTAGCGTCCTTGCATTTTGTCCATCTGATAGGGTAATGGCAAGTACGTTGGGGTTGAGGGGCTGGGGAGCGGCGTTTGACATACAGGGCGAAACCTGGTGGTCACCCTTGGCAACTAGATTCTCGCAGCCTTTCTCTCGAATTTCACGAAGAAGTTATCACCATTACCACGGAAGTCATGCAGAAACTTCTCATGTTTGTCTTAGTGTAACATCTACTCTTGCAGATAGCATTCCGACATCAAGGACTACCGCCGCCACCACCACCAAAATCACCACCACCAGCAGCAGTACCAGCACCAGCACCAGCACCAGCACCAGCACCAGCACCAGCACCAGCACCAGCACCAGCACCAGCACCAGCACCAGCAGCACCACCAAAGTTGCTGCCGCAAGGTCTCCCAGTGCTGCTACTGCCGCTACTGCCTTTGCTACTGACACTGCACGTAATTCCTACACAGAAGCTGTTCTAGAGGAACCACAGCGGTCTGAATGGCGACCCGTGTATACATTCAGCACTCATGTTGCCATGCCATGCATTCCTGAGATGAAACTGGTGCGTTTGCCGCTTGCCATCGAGATGCAGGTCTCGCCTGAGCTTGTTGCAGTTTTCCAAACAACCATGGATCAATTACAACAGCACTCAGAATACATATATGTGGCAGCAGGCAGTGTGAGTTCGTGACTCGCGCAGGTATAGTATAAGGGAAGCCCTCATGCAGGAATACCCCAAGATGATGTCAGTGGGTGCGAAGTCTAACAAGATCCGGGTGGCAGCGTGTAGCCCTCAAATCCGCCCAAGGTATTGGGGGAGTCGGCGTCAGACTCATCATCTTGAGCATCCTCATGGCAATGAGCTTATGTTGAGAGATCTGAGGCCTCCTATAGTATATTGGGGTTATATAGGGATCGTGGAAAATAAAATGGAAACTACCATAGCAAATTGGGGTTAGAAAGGGATCATGGAAAATAGAATGGAAACTACTATAGTATGTTGGGGATAAATAGGGGTCATGGAAAACAAAATGGAAACTACTGTAGTATCTTGCGGCTATGTAGGGATAATGGAAAAGAAATGGAGACTACTATTGCGGTGGTGGGGTATATCAGGGCAATCTTGAGTTCGACCAGGCTATCAAAAACATGAATCCTTTCCAGCACAAAATGTCGAATGGGGGATTGCAAGGGTATGATCCGTTCACTAACAACAAGCAGTAATTTCCCTAAATAGGGGGACCCCAATATAGACCCCAATATATAAAGATCCTGGTTATTGGAATCCCCCAAAAAATACACCTAATTTGAGGAAACCCTAAACCCTATCTATCCATATATAACTCCTATTTATCCCCCTATATAACC